CTGGACAGCTCCTCGTTGAGGGCACAACTATCCGAGATTTGAACGTGCAATTCCACCGCTCCCGCATCGGCCTTGTGTCGCAGGATACCGCGCTCTTCCAGGGCAGCATCCGGGATAACATTCTCCTTGGTCTTCCGGACGATGAAGCGGCGGCGCCCGACGCAGATGATCGCGTGGAGCGCGCGTGCCGCTCGGCGAACATGCATGATTTTATTAGCAGCTTGCCCGACGGATACGCGACCGACGTCGGAAACCGCGGTGTCACTCTCTCCGGGGGCCAGCGCCAACGTCTCGCAATCGCCCGAGCGCTTATCCGCGAGCCGGAGGTGTTGCTCTTTGATGAAGCCACTAGCGCCCTAGACACCGCCAACGAGACGCTGGTGCAAGCTGCCATCGAGGCGGTCGCGCGAGAGAAGCCTGGCCGAACCACTATTGCCGTGGCTCATCGCCTGTCGACTATACAGCGCTGCGACCGAATTTTTGTGCTGCATAGAGGCCAGGTTGCTGAGGACGGCACACATGAGGAACTTTTCCAGAGGCGGGGAATGTACTATGACATGGTCTTGGCTCAATCGCTGGACAGAGAGGTTGCCGCGATTGTCTAAGAGAGGTAGCCCCAGTATAATACATGAATAGGCTGGCATGTGTTATCGACTGAGTCGTAAATGATGTTGGCGTTGCTGAAGACACAGGGGTAGGCTTGAAGACGTAATGCGGACTGACATTTCCTATGTAGTGGTTTTTTTCCGGCTTTATAGGCGCAAAAGATCGACCTTGACGGGATCAGGCTTTTGAGCTCCTATAATACCTAGCTACCTATTACAATAAGAATCTCCACAACTCAACCACTACGAAAATTGCCACCAATCGACGTTGAACAGATACTCAGTGCCGTTACCAATGTAATCAAAGAAAAGATCATGTTTGCCAATCACATTGCTCACAGCGCATGTGATAGTTGACCATGTCTGCCAACCCCCAGTATTCCCAATGGTACACGTCCCAATCAGTTGTCCGCTGCGACTGTCAAGGCGCAACTCGATGCGGCCGCCATTGGTTGCAGATGAGACAGCGGCACGGAATTGGCTCGCGCCCTTGATACCAAAGTCAACACCCTTGACCTTGATGTAATCACCACTATTGATGAATGCTACGGCAATGCCACCAGAGGCAGTGACTTGAGCCTCAACGCCCTCCGAAAAGGCGATCGTCTCGGCTTCCTGACGGACATAAGGGTCCAAGGAGCCAACCTGTGCTGCACCTTCGGATGTCATCGGAATTTGCGGGATGGTCCCGTTCGCTCCGTAGCTGAAACTCTCGACGCAGACAGATCGCTTGTAGGATTGGCCGCCAGGAAGGGCATCGTTATGGTAGAAAAAGTACTGCTTGCCCTTGAATTCTACAATTCCCACATGGTTGGTGTCGCTGGTTCCTCCAGTAGCCATAGCAATACCGCCGTAGGTCCAAGGTCCGGTCGGGTTCAGACTAGTCGAGTATTGGATGTTTTCAGGGCAACATTTGGCTGCGTAGACCATGTAATAGAGACCATTTTGCTTGTAGAACCAAGGTCCCTCCTGGTACATAGTTTGCCCTTTACCGCGATCGCCGAAGCCATCTGTGGTGAGGGGCACCTTGACGATGTCACCGCTGTAGGAAACCATGTCCTCGTTCAGTTTGACGTAGTATAAGTCTGGATTACCCCAGTAAAGATACGCCTGGCCATCATCGTCGATGTAGACAGTAGGATCGAATTGGCCATTGGCGAGAAGCGGACCGCCGATAGCGTCTTTATACGGCCCTTCGATCTTGTCGCTGACACCCACTCCGATGGCGAAGGTCGCCCAGGTAGGCCCGCGGTTGATGGGGACGTAGTAGTAAAACTTGCCGTTGCGTTCAACCACCTGCCCTGCCCACGCGTCTACGGTAGCCCAGGAGAAGGTCTCAAGGCTCATTGGTGAGCCATGATGTTGCCAATTGACCATGTCCGATGACGAGAATAGAAGCCAATCTTTCATGTTGTACCAAGTGGTCGCGGAGTCCTGATCATGGCTGGTGAAGAGATAGACGCGGTCATTGTAGATAACCGGCGCCGGATCTGCAGTGAAATCGGTCTGGATGATCGGATTGTCTGCTCTGGCGATCCCTGGGCCAAAGGGGGAGAGACTTAAAGCCAATAACAAAAAGGAATTGATCCAGGGCTTCGAAGGATACATCATACTGGGTTTTTCGATGTTTGCAATGAATTATAAAGATTCTTTCATTCCTGTCGCCTGAGTTGCAGGATGGGATTCGTTCTTCCTAGAGTACGGCAAAATATATACTTCACGCGCGCAACTATCGCGACCGTCGTCGTGTTTATCGCTAGGATCACTCTCATATGTTCTTTCTCAAATAAAGTTTTACTCCAGGAATCTCGTTCGTGCGGTTCAGTCATTCAGCCTGAAGTAGCAACGAATGATGATATTGGCGCGCGTAAGTACACATAACCATGGATAGTATAATAGTGTGTTAGTTTCAACTGAACGCCGGCAAATAATACATACTAAAGCGGGTAGAAAGAAGATTTCCCCACGGAGTAGGTTACAGGATAATCTAGAATGCACCTCAGTCCCCCCGCACAACAATACATTAGTGTATGCAAATGCGGGAGTACCTCGTATCTATGCAGATCAGTTCATTTAGCCTAAAAGCTGGTACAGCCTTACATATACTAGATGGGCCAAGGAGTGATTGGGTCTTCCCCGTATCTGTAAAGTGAAAGTTTATAAGTTCGAATAGCGCACTAGCGTCTGTCTAGTACGGGGTAGTCTTTCCGCGATCGTAGCCTGAAGAGGAAGGCAGCCTAATAAGTACTTCCAGGAAAAGTTTTCCTATAGAAGCCTGGATGCTCTGATGTCCTTTAGCTTCCTTAAGAGAAATTTACACCAAATGCACGGAAAGAGACACCCTCGCCGGATAATGCGAACTAAGACTTCATTAGCATCAGTCATCTTTGAGTTGGTAAGCCGCTCTAGAATAAGCCAAATTACCTACGTTTGGCCGCCCCAAAATCCCCCCCCTATCTCCTCGTTATTATTTTGCTATTGCCAGGCAGCGCGTTTAGCATCGGAGGCGCGATCGACTAGAGGTGGCCGGGAGTCATGGTCGGAGTCTCTGTCTCTATGGTCCCGAAATTGCGCAGTTTCGAGCTGATTCGGCGTACAGTTCATAAATAGTAACCAGCCATGTCGGCAATATGGTCATGAGTGCAGTTGGCGGCTGAGGTTGAACGAAGTAGGTTGAGTTATTAAGTCAGTATAAAGTCGTATCAATGTAACGTAACAAGCACCATGATTGCTCAAACAAGTACCTCAACCATCGTTGTCAACCAGAGCACTTCCAGGTAAGTATTGATGCTTTTGGTGCTTTGCCTACATTTGCTAAGCCTTCTAGGTTGATGGGAACATACGGGGACTTCATAGATGACCTCATAATCCAAGGCTATGCCGTTGAAAAAAAAAACGCCATTGACCCCGAGAAGGCTCGTCGGTAACAGTATCGCGCGTTTGCTTCGCTGAAGTCCTTCGATACCGCTCTTGACCTGGACGACCTGTCACCCTGGATTGATGAGAACTTACTGGTGCAATCAAAGGTCAATTCTTTCGGGAATCGTGCTGCAACCCATGAACGCTTCGTCTAGGAAGCACGCCAGGAGTCCGGAGCCTTGGATCCTTTCTCCAATATCTGGAAAACCAATGAGCTTCTTGAATTTCTCGATTCTTTCAACATTACTTATCCCGACCGGAAGAAAAACCTTCTCGGGCTCCATGGCCCCACGATGACCAACCGCCTCTTGAGCGAAGGATTCACTGCGTACAGGGAACCATCAGTCTCAGTCACGCTGGCCCGGAGGACGGGTCTTTGGTCGTTATTACCAAACCGTTCAAGGTTTTGGACGAGTTCTTCAATACGCAGACCGACCCGAAGTCATGGAAGAAGGAAGGGGTATTTCCGTCCACAAAGCAGGACATGGAGTAGTTCCGTGAAGAAGGACTTGAACCTATCAAAGTTGAGGCGCAGCCTATAGATTTGATCCTCTGGGATCAAAGGGTCGCACATTGGGGTGGTGATCCGACCGAGAAAGGCCAAGCTATTCGGACAATCATCTATGCCATCTCCACGCCGTGAAAAACTTGCTACCATGGTTGCTTTTAGCAAGAAGCAGCGCATGTTCGAAGCACATAGATACAAAACTCACTGGCCGCACGATAGTATCTACCTCGGAGAGTTGGATGCTCGGCTACATGCTGAAGGCAGCGACTATGCTCAAGAACTTATAAAACCAAGATATTGTCCGTGCAACCCAGAGTTGGACATAAAATTAAGGCAGGTCAATTGCGGCCTACCTTGAACAGTTCGTTGATGTTTATGCTGTGTTGCTGTGTTAGATCTGGTATAGGTGTAAGCACGATATATGAAGTTGGTATTGCGTAAGGCGGCTTCGCTTCGTCCAAAATCGTGAAGGTAATCAGCTCCACTTGAATTAATTTCTTAATTAGTATAGCAGTTCATCTCCTCACACTACAGTTCTAGCTACCTCTTCATCGGTACTACGGCGGATGGTATCGCAAACTCGCCATATAACCTCAATCTCACCTAACCCATATTGTTCAATCAAAACATCGAATCTTTCTGACCTAAAATAAAGTTTTCTAGTCAAACTCATTAAGCTTGACGATTGGCTTGCCACATGCACAAACAGGCAAATGGATGACTAACTATTTGTCGTTAGTTTAGGCAGCTGCGCTAGGAGTGGAGAAAAGCCAATGTTCGGATGAGATCTACTTTTTATAACTAAACAGCAATTCCTCATTTTTGTGCCTACATTGCCTAGCGTACCTCTCTAGGTGGATTTATTCCTTGAGAACGCTCCAGTCTTCTTTACTTCATTCCTGACTTTAAGGTTCCTCTACTTCTGCTTCGTCGAACATGAATCTCGAAACGACGTTCTCTCAATCACCATGAACGACGATATGCCGCCCAGGGAGAGCTGCATGTTGAAATCATCGATGGTAGCCACTTTCACCAACCCTGAGACACAGGTCCCAACGCCTGTTCGTAAGGGCGCCATTATAGATCTCTCGGATAACAATGGGAGGACAGCTTTATCATTTGCAGCAGAGAAAGGCCTATTGGGCGAGGTAATGCTTTTGCTGGAAAGTAATGCTGATACTGATCTTCGCGACGACACTGGGCGATCTCCCCTATTATGGGCTTTGTTCCACAATCATACTGATGTAGCCAAGCTTCTGCTGGAGAAAGACATCAACGTAAATGTTAAGGATAGGGAAGGAAGAACTGCCCTCTCTCTGTGCGCAGGGAGAGGCCTCACAGAAATCGCTCAACTTCTGGTCAACAAAGGAGCTGATCTGGATTCCAAAGACGAAGACGATCGTCCACCCATCTCATATGCTGCGAGATGGGGCTATACCGAGATTGTGTGCCTGTTGATTGACGGAGGGGCAGACCCAAACTTGGTGGAAGAGTTGCAATGGGAGGAATTTCAAACACCAGTTTGCTGGGCAGTAGAGTATGGCCAAGAAGCGGTAGTACGGACTTTTCTGGCGAAAACCAACGCCCTTCAAGCATGCGAAAACACCTGCTCCGATCACCGCAAGCCCTTGATGCTTGCTTTTGGGAGTCAAAGCGAGGCAATGGTCAAGCTATTGCTCGATCATGGTGCGGATCTCTGGGGATATTTATCCAATGACGGACCTCTCGCATGGGCTGCAGAGCTTGGCAGGTACAATATGGTACAAATCTTTCTACAACACGAGACTCGGGCGTATGAGGACAGGCAGAGCCATATGTTTAGCGCTTTGATGTTAGCTGCTGAAAGTGATCATGGTGGAATAGTCGAGCTGTTGCTGGAAGATGGCGCCCTAGAGGGACAAGGTGCTTACCAAACAGCCTGGGATTTAGCAGAATGCTTCGGACAGGAAGAAGTCATGACCACTCTAGACCCTTATCTTACAAATGAGGACGGCGATGGGAAGTAAGAGAAGATATTAAGTCAGCGCCGGTAGGATCTGTCAACCTCTGGAAGACGATTTCTCTTTAATTTGATTGGTCTTTCCTCTTTGATCGACATATACTGGTTAGCGACAACTGTTTGATCGGCCTCTAAGTCTATCTAATGACCGGTGTATTGTGCATCGAAATATCTCGCCGTCTTTCTCTGCAGGTTCTTACAGCAGTGAGTGACCCCCACTCTTTCTAGTATCACAGGTGGTACTCTCTGGGGTCGGTGATACGGACACCTCTTCGCTCCCACACCCCCTCAATGTTCATGTCTGCTGTTCCCCTGAATAAAACTCAGTACACGGTAACGGTTGGCCTTGAAACGATAGTAACTTACTCTTCTCGCGGCACGACTGCTGGCTCAGTCTGTCCTGCTGCAACATCGGGGTTTCTGAACACAAAGTTCTTTTTCTATGTCGGGGGAAAGAGGAGGTCTCGATCAGCGCGACTTCTTTTCAACAGTTACCCGTGGGTGTGGCCTTACCAGTCCCAATGATAGATGAATTGCCGGCGGAGTAACTACAATGTGCTCTGTCGGCTCTTGGCCGTTGATCATAGCCAGAATGTTCTGAGCGACTACCTTCGCTTGTCCAGCGCCAGGCCGAGCAGCCTTGTGCGCACCAGAGTCGGCAATATCACCAGCAGCAAACATGTGCGGGTATGCTGGGTCTTGTAATTGCAGTGTCGGTCGCACTTTGATGAAGCCGTTCGCCGGGTTTACGAGAGGGGTATCGCCAGTCTGCTTGAGATCCTGGAGGAACTGGTTGTTAGGTATTTGCCCCGTTGCGGGGATGATGAGATCCGCTGAGAGTTCACGACCATCTTGCAGCTTGACTGAAGTCTGGGAGGCAAGACCGCCAGGAGGAATCACAGCGCGGGAGCCGGTGATCAACCTAAAGTAAAATGTCAATAATTGTTGAGACGAAGATGTCACGTTGATGAGCATACTTGATTCCCAAGTCCTCGAATCGAGCCTTGATAATCTCATCCAACTTGGTGTGGTAAAGAGGCATGAGATGCTCTCGTGAATGCACAAGAGTCACCTCCTTTTCAGGGTAAATTTCCTTAAGATCCGTAGCCATCTGGACGCCCACCGCGCCGCCTCCGATGAGGATGACAGAAGACGCCTTCTGAACCGCCTGCTGATGCGCTCTCAAGGTGTCGACCGACGATGGCTTATCATCACCGGGCATGGTTCCTGGGCTTGGCAATCTGGTGCCTGTTGTGACAACCAAATATTCGAACGGAATTTCTCCTGAACCTTGCCATTCTCTATCCAGAATGATGGAGTTGGGGCGGAGAGATTTGGCGCGGGCTTGAATCACCTGGTGCCGCGATGGGTCGGATGACTTTGAGAAAGCTGCCGTGTATGGAATGAAGGCTTTGTGCTCATGGTCTGGCAGGACTGCGAAACGAGGCTGAATCACGGTTTAGTTATAAATCATAACGACGCAGTGCCAAACTCACAAATGCGAAGAGATGATGAAAGTGGCTGTGCGGTTCAACCAACAAAATCTGCCAGCTACGAGTCAGTCGTCACTCTTTTCAAAGTTGTTTTTCGGGAAGTTCACTCACGCGATGGGATGCTGGCAGAGCAGCGGCAAGCTCGCCCACAGCGGCCTATCGCATGGCGAGGTGTTAGCAGTTGTTCTATAGGCAACAGCCTAAGTACAAGA